GTGATCCAAAACTTGGAGATAGGAAGCTGGCTTCCAACTTTTACATAATAAAGCTGCTAGGTTAAGATTATACTCATTTTATATGATGTGAGTTTTAAAAAAAATTAGTCCCAACAAGCTTTAGGATGGATTTACTGTACTGCTGAACTAGAGTGTTGTTCTTTGCTGCTTAATGTTATTAAGTTATTATGTTTATCTTTGAAGATAATGAAAATGAACTAAAAATTGACTTGGCTTTGCAAAGGTTTTAGGAGGCAAATTCTTGGCTAGGGAAAATAGCCTCAACCAACATTAAGAGTATATTTTTGAATGATTTTCTGAGAAAATTACATAACCTTCACTTGGGATCCAAACGACCGTGGGGAGTAGAGAAATTGAATACATATGGGGAAAATCACAGTGTCTCTAATTGTGTTTCTTGTCATGAGTCTTGGAACATCAATAAATGTTTAAAAATGACATTTTTTGAAAGGGTAGGAGTGCATTTTTCTGAAAGCTTTAAGCAAGTACTTTAGCTTTTTCAGAAGGCAACATAAAAGCTAAACTGACAAAGAAATAGAAGATTATAAAAGTAATCCTATTTTAAAAAATTAAATAAACACATCCAGAAAATGCTGGCAGCTTACTAAAGAAATACCCGGTGAGTAATTTCAGTGGTTTGCTAGGCAACAGGTACATTGCTTGGACTCCTAACGTGTAGGTGACCTGAAATCTTCAAATAAAGCTTTTGGCTCCAGAGGTGCACCAGGATATCTGTCCTATGCTGTGAGCATCACCAGTCTCCCTGTGGCACATCCTTATCCTTTCTCTGCTTCTGTACCAGGAGCTTCGTCTCAGGTGCCTCTCGGCAGATGTGGTTGCAGGCTTTATATCCTAGTCACAGTGCAAGGATATTTTGCACATAACAGAATTAGATTTGGGGGTTTTTAATAAAAAAGTTCATTCTGATATGTAGAGAGAATGAACTAGTTTAAAAAATCAACAGATCTAATGGATGATTTGTGATTCAGCAAAACTTAGTACATGTTGCATTTTCAAAAAACAATTGACAGCTCAGTGTAACTTTAACCAAAACTTACAGAAGCTTTATGCTGCAGTGAATTGAATTGGATAGTCATCTTTGGAGCTACAAAAATATCTGAGATGCTGACATTACTCCAAAGATAAAATCTACAGGCTGATACTTGCTTAATAATGTGCATAAATCCTTCTTTTTCTTTCTTCCTTCCTTCCTTTCACCCAGAATCCTTTTGGCATGGAAAGTGTTATTTTCCATCACACTGAAGTTGCATGGTTCTTTTTGATGTATCACGCTTGCACACTTCCCACGAGCTCTGAGCTGCTGATTAATCTTATTAAGGAGTTGCACCCAAATTATATGACAGGACCCAGTGGTCCTTTTGGAAATTCTAACAAATAGCATTTAGTCAGCTGAGGACCACTGTGCTTATTGATGAGAGTGATGCTTTTAAAAGGAAGTGGCCTGCACAGCTGTTTCCTAATTGCTGAAAACATTTAAACTGAAAGCAGTTTAAAATATAATGATGCTTCTGTAGAGGAACCTTTCATGTCCCTGAATTATTTACAATATTGGTCTGCTGTGCTTGCTTTTCCATCTATCTGCCTTTCATATGCATGAAGAAAAAAATTAAAGTGCCTGTGATTTGCACCTCCTCAAAATGTTGCTACTGAAGGTCAAATTCTCAAACCTGGAGAAGAGACAGAGATGTAGTGTGTTTATGAGGAAACATAAGAACTGCTCAAAAGCAACACGGTGCAATTTGCATTCAGATTTGGGGAATACACTCAGGTTACAGAGGGAATGAATTTGGAAAGCTCCCCAAGAGTTTGTGTGCAGCTAGAGAGACACAAGACAAGCTGAGGTGTTTCAGAAACCAGCTTTTTCTGATCTTTTCTGAAACATTGTATTTCCTGGTACTTGGTATGTGTAATAGAATCAAATAAACAATTTAACAAGTAAAGAATAGAACAGGAAAGCAAAGTAACAATAACTAGAAGGGCTGTACATCCAGCAGAAACTACCTGGAAAAAGGGGCTCCCTGGCAAATGCTGCTTGCATGTGGAAAAAATACAGAGCCTGAGTGCAGAGAGGCCCATAGGAAAAAAAAATTAAAAACCTTACTTAATATTATTGTCTAGTGGTAGCATGGGGGAGGAAATGACAAGCTGGTGAATCTGCAGATTTATTTCTGCTGTTTGAAGTACATGCTGCATCAATTTTTAATGGGATAGAGTGTACTTTTTGGGGAGAGAGAAGTATGCATATTGGGGTTTTTTTTCTGACTTGACTCAAGAAGCAGGAGGATGGATGGTGGGATAATCTGTGGAACTTGTGACTCCATATCCCAGGAAAAATTGAAATTCACCCCTAGAGAAATGCCTGTAAATTGCAAAGGCAGATGAACTCTTCAGGGAAAGGATAAAATGATGCCAGCCACTAGTCTGGAAAAAGCTTCCAGGCTGCAATTAAAGGAGCTCAAAGAGATTAATGAAGACAGAAAAAGTAGCATCTTATCCAGAGTGCATATGTTGGGCAGTAGCACACCAAGCAGGGAGTAAAAGTCCTCCTTGCAGGCTGGGGCAAAGGAGGAGGAAGGGAGGCAGATGCCCCTGGCCGGGCTGGCAGCAGTGCCCTGGGGCAGCCCTGGTGCCTGCAGGCTCGGGGTGCGGGGCTCAGGGCAGGCTGGGCTCCCTCGCTGCTCCGGGAGCCGCACCCCGGGGCCGCACCCCGCGGCTCCTGCCCTGGCTCAGCCACGGTGGCTGCACAGGTGATCCAGAAAATGGGATCATCTCCACACAGCCGGGCTGGCTGTGAGCTCCTCTGCGCTTCTGAGAATTGGCAGGGGGGTACAAATCTGGGACGGGGATGTGGGACACTGACAGGAGCCGTGTGCAGCACAAGGACGTGCATCTGCAAACAGCACCCAGGGGACGTGTGGGCTTGAATTAGGACTCACTGTAACTTTCTAACGAGGAAGGAACTCTCTTTTTTCTCTAAAGCAGCAGAGCAGAGGACAAAAATGACCCATTTCCAAGGACTGATATGTCTGATACTACTCATACCACCAACTCCATTCAGGGCAGAGGGCTTCGCTGGGATGAGCATTCACCCAGAATGAGCATAGTGGTGTGCACAGCTAGCTGGAACACCTGTGAACCTCTTCAGTACAGACAGCTGCAGACAGGGTAACTTGGTGTCAGGGATATTTTTGTACAATTTCAAACAAGCACCAGAAGGGCATTTAAAGGTAAAGTGTGAGTTGGTGCTCCCAAACTGAGGGCAAAAATTCAGGTGTGCCATAATTGGCCATGGACTTCTCATTGATCCATGTTGCAACTTGGGAAACTATAAACTTTTTAAAGAAAGTTATTCTCCAAAATTGGATTGCTGACAGCTTTCCTTAATGCAAAACAATTCTACTTTCTCACCTCTGTGTCTGAAGTGAATACAAAGTCTCCAAGCCATAAGAAACTGCTGATGAGTGTGTCCAGACCAGTGCAGATCATTTGAGGTTTAAGGACTACAGTGTGAGAAGGTCCTGCCCAGAGCTGCAAGGGGTGGCAGGCAGACTGAAGGGAGTGTGTCCTTGAGAGTGCAGCACAGGTGACTTCGTGGGAAAAGTGCTTGGATATGCACCTTGTGTGTAGGTCATGAGTAGTTGCAGTGCATGGGGAATGAGCTGCTTCCTCAGTAAGAACACAGAGTCCTTTTTGGTAACTGTAGTATCCTCTTTTGCTCTAGGTCCAATTCCTGAAAAAAATACCAGTCAAGAAACATCTTTATTTCCCTCTCAGAAAAGAACAGAGGCAGCAATGAGATGCTTTGAATTGAAAGAACATTCTCCTGTATCACCATACCCACAGAATTTATCAGAGTCAAATTTTTTGCTTAAAATTCTTTCTTTGACTGATAATTTCTCTGCCCAGAGCTTATTCCAAAAGTGCCAGGATGCTCTTACAGGCCAAAGACAAGGATACTGGACAGTAGGTGCTGACAGGCCTGGAAGCAGCAGGTTTCTGTACAAACACTCAGTTTCCTTCTTAAAGCAAGTAAATACAGTGGTGACCTTGTCTGTCAAGCAGTTGAATTGTTAGGAAAATCTTTAATAGTAGCATTTTCTGTATTCCTAGCTGCTCAGCAAACCTGATTCACTACAAAAAGCTCTCATATGAAGGGAGGGAAAGAAGAGGGGTGTTCACACAGCCCTAGGCAAAGCAGACAGAATTGTCATTTTCTGATCTCCAGGAAAGAATTAGGGGTCAGGCTAAGATAAACACATCTGCAAGGGGATGGAGAAATAAATCTCCAGAGGATATTGGCATCAGTGAAATAGTGCTCACTATGAGGGTTAGAGAAAGTAACTGCTCTTTGCTTCTAGTCCACATTGAGCAGACTGTTTCTGGTTTAAAAATATTCTCTGTGGCGTCTGAGAATAATTTTGTGTTACTTTCCTGACTTTATTTCTGGCTTTTGATTTCCCACAGAGATCTGGAGCCTGATGGGTTAGACCTGTTTCTGGGAGTAATTGTGGCAGTCAGGAAGGGCCCCGTATCTGGAATGTGCTTTCCTTGGCAAGCACTGGGTGGTGGCAACCTTCAGGGTGTGACAGGAGACCTATTTATTTACTTGGGTTCTTATGCTTACTGTTGGGGTTTTTCTGAGTGTCCAGCTTGGGATGACAATACTTGTCTCCCACCCTTGGGCTCTGTGATAGCTGTCCCATGTAATGCATGCACTGCAGAAATTTTTCATGGCTGTTTTAATAACAGACAGCTGGTTTAACAAGGCCAGCTGTTTTATAAATAGGCTAGTACGTTTTAAATTAATAAAATAATTTGTTGAAGCAGTTGACTTTAACAAGGTGTGTTAGTTTTTTACCAGTAAAAGTGAGTGAAAGGCTCTTGGAGCAGGAAGCCAAAAGGGTTGTTTTATCCAGGTCCTTCCTTCTCCCTGATTTTTTTTTTTTTTAATATTTCAGTCTGTCTAAGGGTGGGACCATACAAGGTCATGCAAAAAAGACTGTAAATTGATGTCAGGTATGGTAACAATCATCTACTTATCTGCAGTGCTGGAAGTCCTACTGTAGGAAAAAAGAAAAACCAAACCCAAGCCTCTTGCCTTGCCACTGCTATGCAAGCATGAAAAGCAAAGGTTTCTCACTTTTTCTCTACCTCCCAGGGCCTTTTTTCTGAAGTGGTCTTTTGCTTCAGCCTAGAACATGTCAGTGTGCCTTCAGTCCAAGTTCTCTCTGGCATGTCCCACAGCTGAGACTCATCCACTGCAGTATAGGAGAATGTGCTGGAGGCATGTACTCACACAAAGGATTGCCCAGCCAAGTATCTCTCTCTGACAGTGCCAAAGGGGGTATCTAGTTAGTATAAGAAAAGGGCAAGAGTTTTCACAATTTCCTCGTCTAGTTGCAACCATTTGCAAAACAGGGACTTTCAGAGCCAGGAGGGAATTTGGTGGTGAACAACATGGGTGAATTTCCCTTCTGCGACTGTGCCTTCCCTTAAGCTCTCACTAAATGTATTGAATCCTCAGTGTCTGGCTATGATGACTTCAACAGTGAACTATGTGAAGAGGCAGTTCCCTTAGTTTTGTTTTTAAACCTGTGCCCTGGTGTTTTCATTTGATCTTCCGTAGTTCTTTTGCTGGGAGAGACAGCAAATTAGTGTCTCGGTGCCACTCATGAGATACCTCACACAAAGAGAAAAAATTATTCTGTCAAATCCTAAGTCTTTGCTTCTTCTAAGATCAAATAATCTTACTCTTGCCACCACTCTTGTATCAAAAGATAAAAGAATTGTTTGTCACCAAAAATATCCATCTGCCAGGTAAGTAGTGACAAGAGATTAGCATGATGTGTTCCAGCACCACTGTTCTGGTAGAGCATAAAGATGACACGGCAAAGGCTGGTATCACCCATTGACGGCTTTTCAGAGCCAGCTCTTTCTAGGCAGAGACACAAGACAGCAATTACACTCTGCCAAACCCACTGCAACATGGAGATCTTGTTAGGAAACATGCCAGGACCAGCGCTGCCTTCTAGCTGTAGGTGGATATTGGCAAGAAGTTCAATGCAGGGTAACCAGAAGGAATGTTGGAAATACGCAGCTCCTTCTTGCACTCTAGAAGTGAAATATTCACCAGCATTTATGCTTTATCCATGAGGAAACTGGGACTAATGCTTACATTAGTGCCTGGGTAAGGAGGGAAACCACACACCATGGTGACTTCATAGATTTCCTCCACTGGTTCCCAGGAGCTCCTGGGAAATGTGTAATTCATCATAGCTTTACTGGTCCAGCTCTGGAAGTGATTAGTGCTCCAGTGTGCCAGGCATGATATGAAGTCAGCATACAGTCCCTTTCCTGGAATGCTCTGGTACCTGGCTGAGCACCAGCTGCCTCAGACTGGAAGAGTCATTAGTCGTGCATCTCTATTTTTATGCCAGAGGTTAAAAATGTTTTAGGGCTACTGCTAAAGTATGAGATGAGGACTTGCATGCGTTGACTTTTGGAAGTAACTTGAACCACAGGTTAGGTTTGTTACATAATGTTAAGTTATTAAAAATAGGTGGATCCTGAGAAATTCTGGAATTTGACTAGAGTGGGCAAGTTTGAGGGATACTAACTCAGCATTGATTAGCCCATCTCTGTACTTGAAGAACAAACTGTTAGTACAAGATGTGAGTGGAGCAACTGTATTTAGAAACATGTTTCCAGGGAAACATTAGTTTCCCTGGAAGACAACCCTGAAAGATGAAAATTTATGTGACTCTTGGGACAAATGTTAAGTTTGAAGACTTTTTTTCCCCTTACTTTTTATAGCAAGTACATTCTGCTCCAAATTCATTCGCTTCAAACGTATATGGTAAAACCTATTTTAACTGTGGAGTTCAGTATCTCAGTGGATTTCATTAAGAAAAGGGCCCACACAAGCTGCATTTCAAAGATCCATCTCTTGCATAGCAACTCAAATCAAATCAGTGCTTTCTAAGCACATCCTGGCATACCATGCAAACTGTGATTTAAAAGAGCAAGGCTTGAGATGTAACTTGGCTTCTTATATGACATCAGACAAATCAATCAAATGTAACTTGTTTGCAAAATCATTATAGTGCTAATTTCTTGTGTTTGACCCTGCAATTGCATGGATCAATTTTATGAGTGTCTAAAAATCCTGAGGAAAAGCGTCAGTTTATACTAGCAGAAAGTTTTTCCTTGGACTGGCAATTCCTTCTGAAACCAGATGATTTTGTCTCTTAACCCCTTGGCAGCTTCCTTACCAGTGAAGTTCTCTAGAAGACAGCTCTATCTCACTTAGTGAGCAAAGTTTATGTTCTTTATGCAAGGAGATCCCTGTTGAAATTGTAAATACTATGAACTTGTCTAAGTACTTTTTGTCATTATTTTGTAAATTTTAATCTGTTCATAAACTCAAAGTTTTTATTTCTCTGTATGTTGTCTGTGACAAAAATATGTCCTTTGCTATATAATTGTACTTCTATACCTGATTATGTATTTTTTATTTCTTTTTAATGGAGAGAGTGGTCTGAAAGTGTCTAAGTGGAAGGATTTATATAATTAAGGTTTAAAATCCTATGTTTAGTGGTCACAGAAGTAAATCAATTGGTTGTTGCTTTTCCAGCAGAGGCATATGAGCCAATACTGGTATTTGTAAAAGTCACCAGTTATCTCCATTTTTAATTTTCTGGCCAAGGTAGGAGAGGCAGACAAGATTTGTCTTGGGAATTTGAATGACCCATGATCCTTTCTTCTCATCTGTTAATGTCAAAGAGTCTTTGTTTGCTTGCACGTGTGAAGTTTAATGTGGCCATCCTACAAAAAACAACTATAAAATTAAATCTGTTTAATGTTGAGAGAACAGGGTAACTGTTATTTAATATTTTATTTATAATGAAATGATCTACAGATTAAATCTGTTTGTTTTAGCAGACGAATAAAAGCTAAATCCTGATGCCTATCTTGAGCTGTGGGTGCTGTCAAGGAAGAGCCTCTGTGGGACACAGCTGTGCCCAGGACACTGCAGGATGTGAGATTAGTGAGGAATGAAGGCTCTGCAGACCTTAAAGAGGTGTGCAGCATGTTGTGGTGTCATAGCATCAAATCCTGATTAAATTATGTGCTTAGGGATTTCTGACAAGCTTTTTGTACTTAATTGCCACCCACGTGTTTCATCTGGCATGGAGTTGTAAGTAATTATGTTGCTGTCTTTGGTCCATACATGCTTTCTTCGCTTTTGTCAACTGCTGATCTCCAGCAGAGCAGCAAAGCCCTTTTCTGACAATGTCTCCACTTAGAGGATTCCCACCTACTCTGCACACACCACAGAAAATGAAGAGTGTTCATGTTCTTGGTGTTGCTGTTGCTGACCATTTGTAAACAAACAAAAAGTGAAATTACTGGTCTGTCTGCCAGATGCAGCTGTAGGCAATAGTGTGAGCTGACTGGCAGTAAAGCAACATCAAGAGAAGTTATTTTTCAATCAAGTTAGGCTTTACTCTGCTAATCCACTGAAACTGCGAAGGCTGTTTTCTGTAAACTTGTTACTTTGTTAAATGGGAGCCAAAGCCAAAGGAAATCCACCTAAGAAAGAAAAGTTAAACAATGTAATTCTGCAGCTGTAGAAATAAATTGAAATGGAAAAGTATATTTTCAAAGCCATTCTTACAGCTAAATTGCAGTCATAATTATTAATGGCAAAAATAAACTAGAAGATAACCATGAAAAGTCTCTGTGAAGTTACACTAAAACAAAATTCCCATCCTGACTTTTCTGGTGACTTTCTTATGAATGTCATGTTGGTGAGCAAGGGAAGAATGGCCTGCTGATGAAGTTTAGGTGTAACATTTTCTGCTCTGTAACTTCCAGGGTTAGTAGGTAAAAGGTGTTTTCTGTCTTTACAGCTTTACTGCACTGGGATCAATATACAGGTGCAAACAAAGCTAGCACAAGACAGGCACACTATTGTATCAAGTCCCATTGGCATTTCTTCCTTGGCTGTGCAAATGATGTTATTGATCAGCAGTTTTGGTATTGTTGCATAGATGAATCATGAAAGTCATCTTCTGAATTCCTTATTTTCTAAACATTAGGGCCTGACTTTGCAGTCAATGTTTGTGGGTTCAATTTCAAGTTGGCTTCAAATGATTTCACTGTTACAGATGAGAAGCACAGAGCATGAAAATTTACCCTAGGCCTGAAAGGAATTCCCACAGGCATTTAAAATTTTGAGCCTTCTCCTTGACATACTTAACATGGGATTTTTTTGATAGAGGTCATATTATGGTATCCATGACCTTCCCTGCAATGTTTTGTAGTAGAGTCTAAATGCTGTTTTGCGTTGAGAGTAATTTTTTTTTTAATGATACCTCAGTTTCAAAGTAGCATATTTTGCTTAAAGACTTGGTGTTTTCCTGTTGCCATGCAAGAGGCTGCAATCAGGTTGCTGCATTCCTGATTTTTTTTTCTCTATGAACATTTCATTGTGCTTCTAATCCTGAGGGGAGCTGATTGTATGATCATGTTTTAGTCATGATGACTCAATTCTGTGGTCTGACTTTGCTTCTACTATGAGTGCTGCAAGCTCTTTGATGGTGCTTATTGCCATGCACTCTTCAAGCCTGCCAGAGTCCTTGGAATACTTAATAATGCCTTTCCATTATCTCAAAATGACACACAATGGGCTATGTGAACTCTGGCTCTCAAAATCCATGAGTCATGTCTCATATTCCTGAAATGTTTTGCTTGTTTTGAGTCATTTCATACAAAGAGTAGAAACTCCTCACAAGAGTTAAGCTTCTCAACTTAAAACCAGGCTCTCAAAGCGAAGCAGTTGCTGGATGGCATGAGCCAGGCACTGCTGCACAGGACCATGACCATCTGCAAAAGCTTCTCAGCTGAAAGCACCATGCAAAGGCAGAATGGCTCTAACACAGCTCTGTGAGATACCTGAGATTCTTATAAAGGAATCTTGTACAGGTCACATACGAACAGTCCTAAAACAGCTTTGAAATCTCTAAATCTGAGCACAGACAGGGCCTGAGTGAGGAGATTTGGTCATCCCACTCACCCTCAGTGCCAATGCCCGTGCTGGTACTAGCTCACCTGATCTCAGTGTTGGTGACAAAGTGTTCAGCCAACAGGGTCTGTGTGCAGTGCAGCCTTCCTTATGCTTTTGGTGTCTTTTCCTGGATTGCCATAAGGAACTGGCGTGTGCAGTCCTCACAGCAGCAGTGTCCTCTTCTGCTGTTCATCCATCCATCCATCTCATTTCCAATGGATGAAGAAAAATCAAGGCTAAGGGACTGATTTTTCCTGGTGTTCTATGCATGTTCCAGCTCTAAAGGCAACGGGAGGCCTAAAGAAGGTGGAGGTATCACCTATTAACCATATCCAGCACATACCAGCATTCCTCTGGGCTGAAATTGAGAGGTGTGCCTGTCAGAGAGAGGAAAAAGAGGCAGAACAGGAGCTGACTGATTAGAGCTCTTCTGACTCCTACAGCAGCAGGAATGCTGTCAGCCCTCATGCTCTGCGTTATTCCCATTGCACAACGTTCCTGATTTCATATGGCAAATGAATAAAAAGCCAGGAGGAACATGCACTAAACAGAATCCTGTTGTTAGGGCTTGGGTGAGAGATGCAAGGCAGTGCAACATGGGGAGCAAGAGTGAGCTCGTGATAGTGTTTGTATTTGTAAGTGCTCTTGGGCCAAGGGCTGCTGAACACAGTGGGACAGCTCTGCTGCCAAAATGTGGTTTGACACCCTCCCTTGTGCTGGTCCTCCCTCTCATGCCAAAATGCCTTTATTCCTCTTGCTAGGGACTATGACATATATTGGAAGGTCTGTCTTTCTCTGGAATTTCAGATTAACTTCTGAGTGCAAGCTAATACAGCAAATAAATGGCTTGTGTCCCATTTTGAAGCGTTATGCATGCTGGACACAGTTCAAAGCAACAAAATACATGCTCTTTCCATAAGCTTTTTTTTTTTTTTCATAAGTTTTTTTTTTATTTGTTTTTTATTTTTTTATTTTAAACTTGGCTTTTGGAAAGGTGTGATAATGCCATATGAGCACTGCAGATTGTATTAAAGGGAGGGCTTGTTGCTTGCGTGATAATTGGTCCCTGAAGTTCTGAAGCTACTCTCATTTGCTTCTTTGTAACAGAAGACAATGCTATGTCTTGTCCCCAGGGATGAAAAAGTGTGATAAGGAGGATGACAGAGCTGATGAGGCTGAAGGTACAGTGCAGACACAAAGTATAGTTATGTGGTAACAGGAGTTTTGCTTGAAAGAAGATTTTCTTGCTATGAATAATACTGTAACGTGAGAAATATCTCTCTGGTAAATTTTGTCTTTGGAAATGTCCATAAACAACACAGATATTTGCTTGGCACTTAAATCCAAATTCTTTTATGTTTGCCTTTTCTTCTGAGTGGATATTCCATGTTGGATATGGAGTGTGAATTTTCATGGTTCCTGCCATGTTTTCATTTGAAATTTGGAAAATAGCTGCAAAAAAATAGCAAGGTAGAGAGGTGGTGGCTGTCCTGGAAGCTACAGGTGAACTATTCAATAACAAAGTGAGGAGGCATTCCACTGTCAGTGTTGAAGATGCATGAAGTATCTACAGCTTCCTGTACTGTGGTTTTTGATGACATTGGTTTAATGCCATAAAATGGTACTATTTTATTGTTGGATGCTCAGAACAAGAGAGCTCCTACACACATTGCTCTTCCTTGGGTTTTCATTCTGGCAGACTTGTTCAAACCTGCCTTCAGGTATATAGCTAAAAGTGTGGAGCTCCATCAAAAGCATCAGTCAGTCACTTAAGGACTGCATTTTCACATTCTGGGAGACTCAGGAAAAACTGGGATTCTGAGTGTTACTGCAGACTTTAAGCCAAACACAATCCAAGATTTTGTCTGATACCTTCTAGTTTTGACTAACTGGTAAGCTGTGCCAATACTGTTTCTGAACTACGTCCATACATTATAACCTGGTTCTTAGAGCCTGCTGGAGCAAAGGAGAGATTGCTACAAAAATAATTTATCTGCTCACTTTTGGTAGCTGGATAGCATCACCCAGAATAATACCCAGGACCTGCAGCTCCCAATTCCTTGTGCTACCTAAAGCAATGCTCACCAGGGTGCAGAGGGGACCAGACTTTCTGCTGTGCTGCCTACAAAGCCTGTGTTAGTGCTAGAGGGACCAGGCTTGGGGTCTTGTGGGGGAGACTGCATTATTAACTTCGCTGAACACCTGGAATTTTTTCTTCCTTAGTCTGCCTGTAACTTCTTCTGTGGCAGCCACCCTTTAGAAAAGCAGGAGTAACTCTCTTGAAGCCTCCTAGAATACCTCCCAACAGGTCATTTAAGTCAAATGGCAACTCCTCAGGAGTATCTACTGCTCACTGCTAGGCTCTTGCATTTTAAAAAATGAATCTTAAAAAGCGTTTCTACTGTATTTCAGCGTTTTATCCATTTTAATGTAATGCTGGCAGCCTACAGTCTGCCTTCATCCAGTTTTGAATGGTGGTTGCCTTGTGCTGCAGTACAGCACCTTATATGGTGTATATAGTGTAAC